ATGTAAATGGAATTGATTGGTTATCTGAAAATTGAACATTTGAGAACTGTGTTTTAACATGAACAGTAAGGGTACATACCGGACCAAGCTCAACCTGGAAAGGCGCAAGCCATAGGTGGAAGGTGATGCAATGAATGCATGCAATCTACAATGCAATATTTACAAATATGCAATGGAGTGGATATTTACAACATGCATGACAATGCAGTACAATGCGACCTACTGGGGAAAATGCAATGGATGCATGCGAGCTACAATGGAAATGCATGACAATGCGCTATGATGCAATGACTATGAATGCAACTTTCCCTATCTTACCAACAGGGTGATATACTAGGTTGGTTCAGTATCCAGAACTGAGGCGTAGACATGCCGCCTCAACCTATGGGGCTTCCATACAGATTTCAAGCCGAGGGTAAACCTCTGGGTATTTAAACCAGACTTTAGTCTCGGAACTCCCGAACCTTTGCGTTCTAGGCATAAGCCGTTCGAACTCTAGTTTCCACCGTCCCAGTTGGTCTTCTAGGAACTCACCGCAAACATCGGTAGGTGGCTTTACCAGACCACCGAAAGTCGTTCGGGCACGACAAACACCGAAGGAATTGCACCTTCAGAGGATTTAAGGTCTCCTAGACCGGACTGCAAAATGTATGCATGACAATGCAAAATTTTTTTTTTTTTTGTTTTTTTTTGTTTTTTTTTTGAAATGCAAATGATGCAAGTGATGCATGTTGTATGGAATGCGCGATAACACGCGGCTTAAGACATGTACAAAGCAATAGTGTGCACACCAATGCATTAAAGGTCTTGCACCTTCCGAGGATTTAAGGTCTCCTAGACCGTACGTATTTAAGGTCTCGCCAGACCATGCGTGTTTAAGGTCTCGCCAGACCGTGAAGTACCTGTCCGATTCGTCTGGTCGCTCCAGCCTCAAATGAACCGTACATACAATATCGTTCTTGAAAAGAAAACAAACTTAACAGGTACAATGCTGTTAGCAATATGCATGACAATGCAAGAATGAGGCATGCATGCCGTATGGAATGTAAGTTGATGTAAATGGACTTATATGCCAAATAAAAAAAAACGTGCACATCAATGCACCGGAGGTTTCGCACCTCCCAAGGATTTAAGGTCTCCTAGACCGTACGTGTTTAAGGTCTCGCCAGACCATGCGTGTTTAAGGTCTCGCCAGACCGTGCGTGTTTAAGGTCTCTCCAGACCGCGCGTGTTTAAGGTCTCGCTAGACCGGCGGTATTGCACGACGATATGATGCGCAAAATAGCGCGATGCGTTAGGCAACGCGAGTGCACAGGACAGTGCGATGGAATGAAATGGACTTAAATGCGCAACAACGCACATATTCCGGAATGCATAACAATGCATGGAATGGAAATGCAATGATGATGCATGAGAAATATGCACGACAATGCAAAGGGGTGCGTGTTGCAACGCATGTAACACGTGCACAACAATGCAAGTGTGGCGCGCGACAGCGCGATGTAATGCATCAAAGTAGTGTGATGAACTTGTGCAACACACATGGGGCAACTTTTGAATTCAAAAGGATACAAAAAGGATACACCTTGCATGAATTCGAGTGCCACGGACTGGAGACACGGCCCGCGGTCAAAACGGAGGCCGGTTGAGCGTCGGAGATGCACTTTCTTGCACTTTCTTGAGCTATGAAGACCACGAACTTCTCATATGGCCTAACCAAGGCTGTGGGAACCCCACCGGCCGAAAGGGGAAGCCATCGGCTGTCCATCGGCACAAAAAAGTGCCGACCGGCACAAAAGGGTGCCGACCGGCAAACAGTTGCTGGTGCGGGGCAGTTTTGTCTTTTCACCTTGGGTGTTATAAAATAGGGCTTCATGCCCTATTTTCTCACTTCTCCACCGCTGAAAACCTTTGCTCTCTCTCTAGAGTGCTTCTCTCTTCCCCGTTTCTCCGTTTCTTCGCGTTCTATGCCCGTTTCAACGTCGGATTCGCGATCCTCTTCGCGTTTCGGACATTTTCCACCGATCACATTCTCATTTCGGTGCCTCGTTCGGCGTTCTCGCCTTTTCGGGGTTCGTTTCCCTCACTTTCCTCTTCATTTCCGTGCCTCTTCACATTCCGGCCTTCCCGGCTATTTCCGACCTTCTCGGGAGTTGACTTTTCAGTTGGCTCTTCGCATTCCGGCTCGGTTTTCCCTTTTCCGGCCATTTTCACACCACTCTCTACATGGCGGACGACATTCCACGTGGCGGGACTCCCCCGGACCACGAGATGGATCCCGGGGTCGAGCTCTTACCACTGAGCGAGCGCCCGTTCGACCCGGCGACCTACCGGCCGGCGATCCACGTTCTGCCCCCAGACGGCCTGCGTCAGTTCCGGAGCTTTGAGAGGTACGCGGCCCCTGAGCTACTGCTGCGTGAGCCTACCTCCCACCTTTCATTCGGCACTCCCGAGGTAACTCTTCATCTTCTGCTTTACTTTCTGCAATGTAGGATACAAAACTGCCATAGTTAGCTGTATTCTTTAATTGCTGAAATCTGATATGCCGTAGACCATAGTTGACTGTAAACATACATACAACAGATATCTGCTTGAGACTGACACATGCACACACACTGCACTAGCCCTGAATCACCCAAACACACGGCACACACTGTATTTTAGATGGCATCTAAGTGGCCCAAATTCAAAGGCATACACCATGGCCAAAATATGGAGCATTGCAACACATGCTTTCAAAGCATTAAAGAGACATGCAAGGCAA